GCTTGTCGTTCTCGTCGATGTAAACGAGTTGCGTCTCCGTCGTGCCCGTCATGAAGTGGGCCTCGAGAAAGCTGTCGTCTGTGGATTACGGAACGAAAGTCAGAACCAAGTTGTATGTCTATTCATACCGCAAGAGGTACACCGACCGTTGGAAGAGATAGGTATCAACTGTTTCACGAGGACATCTTGTAAGGATACGTGGAAACTTTCATCCCCATCTGCTTTACTCGCGAGTGCACTTTCATACATCAGAACCTGTAATACGAAGGTTCAATTGCATATTACCCAACTTGAAATTACTGAATGCCCAATAAGTAACTACTCACTCACCAGCTCTTCCGAAAGCGGATAAATACGTGATCCACTGACTTTCTCATAATACATGACGTTCAAACTTGCACCCGCCTGGCGCTGATTCGCCGAAACACAAAATAAACCAAAATTGTTGCAGAAAACGTGAAGATAATTACCAAACCTCCATTATAACGGGCTTAACTTACCCAGTAATCCTTTAGGTGCATCATATCACTGTTTGTGGATTCATAAGTGTCATAGAGCACAAGAGGCGCCAACGATGGAGTCCCCCGAGGTACAGGGAAGTCCACATCAGGATACAGGGCGGACACTTTGGGGGAAACGGATGCGAAGGACATCCTGTGTGACAAGTAAGGCAAGATATTTTACCCGATCGCTTTCCCGCATCTCGAACAAAAAAATACGGGAAGTTGGGCAGTTTATTGAACGTTCTTGGCTACTGAACAAGTTCGATCAAAGCGGTTTGTGTCGTAAGAATATTTGTTTTTGACTAAATTTAGATTAGAGAGGAGTAAATTGTGAATTACATTGACGACAAACCTTTGCGCTTGTTATTTGCGCTTGTATGGGAACAATGAAACATCACCCACTCTAGCTTCAGACTAATTGAAAGCTTTGTAAATAAATTTTTACTAACCTGCCGATGGCGGCGAGCAGTAGACGCAGGGGATCGGCATGGCCGCGCTGTGTGAGGGGGATGTGGACATTGTCGGGCAGCGCGCGCTTCAGGATGGCCTGCAGCAGACCGTGAGGGGCCACCTCGATCAGGACGGCCTGCGTGGGAATGTACGGGAGCGCCTCTTCAAACAGCACGGGGCTCAGGAGGTTGTTGGTCTGATACTCGGCCGAGCAGAACTTAGCCAGTTCGCTGTCCTGGAATGAGACAAAGATGGCTCTTTATTTCTGTTGGTCTTGAAGGGCTGGGAGAGGGGTGGAAGTCTTACCCGCTTGTCAACAGGTACCGACGTCGTGATCCACCTGGAGGAGCGGGGCTTAGGCTCCGGGATAACCTCCTTGAGGTGCTGCAGCAGGTGCGGTGCGGCGGGCTGGATGTACCGCGAGTGGTACGCGATGTCGGACACATTGACGGCCCGGGCGAACACGCCCTCGGAGCTGAGCTTCTCAACAAAGGCATCCACGTCCTCCGCGGGGCCGGAGAGCGTGCAGCTGGTGGACGAGTTGTGGCAGGCCACGTCGATGGTGGGGGGCAGGCGGGGGAGCACATCCTGGTAGCCGAGTCCTGGGGCAAGAAAAAATGTAGCGAATGGTGGCGGAGGGGGTGGTGGAGAGTCCAGGAGAAGGCCATACCGATCGCGGCCATCTTGCCCTTGATGAGCGGGACCGCGTTGGAGGCCTTGCCGCGTGCGAACGCGGCTAAAATCGCCTGCTCCTCCGTGAGGCAGCCGTCGGCGTAGGCGCAGCCCAGCTCGCCTACGGAGTGGCCTAAAATGCCTTCCGGGACGACACCCACAGCCGTGAGCACGTTAGTGAGCGCGATCTGGCAGGCGGTGATGCCCACGAATGACTTGAGGATGTTGTCGAACGCTGTCGGCCCCGTTTCAGTCAGGATGGCCTTTAGGTCCACCCCGCGCGGCTCAAGCACGGCGTGGAGGCGCTCGATGGTCTCGGCGAACACGGGGAGCTTCATGAGCGCCGAGCCCATGCCCGCCCACTGACTGCCCATGCCCGAGTACACGAACCAAACTGTCCTCTTCTCCAGCCGCTGGTGATGGGAATATCATAAGTGTTATGGTGCTTAAACACTGGCCCAGGCGCGGATTAAGGGGGGGGGGCGATCGCCCCCCCCCCCATCGCCTCTAGAGAGCCGCCTGAAAGGTAGGCAATTCGCCCCACAAAACCCCTGTATGTAGGCAACCGACAGTGCATCGCCCCCCCTGTCAGCCGGACCTTAATCCGCCACTGCACTGGCCAGGCCATCCACCGCACACAACTTACCGCGACAAGGGTGTCATTCCCGATGGAGGGGCAGATGACGTAGCCCCGGTAGGTGTACCCTCTGATGTCCTTGCTGAACACGTCTTGGAGCAAGCGATAGTAGTTTGTGTCAAATGGAGCGGATTGTATCTGCGTTTTACGAACAAAATTACTAAATGTACACAGAAAAAATATAAAAATCAGTTCCGTACTAATCCATTTAGCAGGCAAATTTGGCACCCCACCCCTGGCAAAAAAAAAAAATAGCTTTAGGATTAAATATTTAGCTGTACTGCTAAATAGTATTGGCGATACAGCTAGTTCATTGCTTCAGTTTGTGTACTAGTAAAAGTTTGGCCCTGAAGCTTAAACAAACAGCTGGGCCTATGCTGACGAATTTTTTGCACTAGTGCTAAAACAATTAGCTAGGGTGCTATTTTCTTAATTTTTTTAAATTAATTTTTAGTGCGCTGCGGACTCACATTGTTTACGACGCTTGCGGCAGCCTCCTCGTTCCTGGCCGAGAAGGTGATGAGGCGCGGCAAGTGGTCGGCGGGGTCCTGGACGCGGCCGGGGCCGCGGGGGTTGCCCCCGAGCACAGCGTGGCCCACCATGGAGGAGAGTGCCATGGTGTGGACGGCCAGGACGCTGTCCTCGGACAGTTGCAACGGTGTGTTCTTGTCAACGACCTGCAGCAGTACGTGGAGCAGGTCATGATCCTGTTAAGGTAGAAAGTCTCTCCTCGCCCCAGTCGACGCACCTTGAGCCTGCCCGCTACCAAACCCGTGGCCTCGCTGTTGGGCTCCTGGAAGTTGATTGTGGCCGGGATGATGCCCGTCTCCATGGCG